AATTCTATTTTCCGTTGCTTGGCCTATAGCTTTGTATGCCTTAGCATCACAAATTCATATCTAAATACTTCTTAAATTTATTAGGATATCTGTCTCTAGGACACTTACTGGCAGTGGCTTGCAGATTAAAAACACGCACTGGTTGAAAAGGTTTTTACACCCATCTCCTCAAACCTTCCTACATCTTACTTTAAATCTATTCCCCCCTTGTGATCGATCCCTCCATCAAGAGGATACATTTCTTTTAGTCTACCCTATCAAAAGCTCTCCTTATTTTGCACATCTCAATCTGGTCTTAAATCTCCTCTGCTCTAAATAAAACAACCCCAGTCTGTCCAATCTCTCTTCATAACGGAAACTCTTCAGCCCAGACCATATCCCGGTAGATCTCTTCTGCATCGTATCCAGTGCTATCAAATCCCTGCTATCATGGGAATTACAAGACTGCACACAACATTCTAGCTGTAGCCAATGAACAAATGAAATAAATGATGCAGAAATCCACAGAAAATGGTCTTTTCCAACGAAGTCTCTTTTGACCAAGTATTACCCTGTGCCCTTTTTCCCGGGTCTGATGCTCCAATGTTCACTGGTCCACGTCAGTAAAAGCTGCTACATGCCATTTGATTTCACAACCGCGGGATCTAAATGGATCGACTGGCTTGAAGGTCCCAGTGGTGAAACTGGGGCACGTGTACCCAGCATCATTGACCAAAACAGGGCAGACTGAACGATGTCAATGTGAAAATGGGTGTCTGATTGTGCAGTGCCTTAATGAAGTGGAAGGATGGATGGAAAGGAGAGTTAGTGATTGTGGGAGAGAGAGAATTCTCCAAGAGGTGAGCTTAAATTCTGATGCATCAAACGCAGATATGTGAGAGCGAGGGTCTGAAGGGAGAAAGTCATCAACTGGGAGAATATTTTCACGTAAAAATGTTTGATATTTTGCCACATTTCTGTAGCACGTGTCACAAGGAATAAGTGACGCAATCGGTGAGCGCACGGTCCTTCTATGACGGTATAGAGGCGCGTGAAATGCCGAGGCTGTGAGCTCCAACCTCACCCGGAGCAGCTTTTATTGACATGGAGCAGGGATTACTGGGGCATCAGGCTGTGGGAAAAATGTTGTTGAGCAAAACAGAATATGTTGGAAGAGACCAGTCTCATTGTTTGGATAATAATCAGTACCGGCGGGAAACACCTCAATTATTCACTGAAAAGCATAATTTGTCAGCAGGAGAAGGATCTTCTGGGGAGAGAGAAACGGAGATGATGTTTTAGCTCGACAACCTTTCCCATATCGCTGACACAGTGCTGGGATAAATTCCGCGAAGGGCTGTTTATCTGTTTCGTACACTGTCTCTCTTTTTGTCCCCTAGAATGGGTAGTACTTTCTGCTTATGGGTGGAATCGAAGATAATCAATGACCTACAGAGGAAATGAGATAATCATTTCAGGGAAATAAGCTTGCAGGGCTCAGTGGAGGGAGCAGGGGAATTACAGAATCTACATTTCTCTGTAGAAAGCTTTCCATTGAACATGCTGTAAAAAAAGGTTGCACATGATGTTGGTGCGGCCTCTTCTGGAGTAGTGTACAGTTCGGTGCACTGTGCTATGGGAATGATATTATTCAGCTGGAGATGGTTCAGAAGAGACTTACCAGGATGTTACTGGCTTTGGAGGGTTTGAGTTATATGGAGAGACTGGATAGGCTGGAACATTTTGAGCAGGAGCGAAGGATCTTGTGGAGTGACATTACAGAGGTTTATAAAATCATGAGGGTTATAGATAAGGTGAATAGCAGGTGTCTTTTTCCGAGTGTGGGGGATTTCACATCAAGGAAGCAAATTTTAAAGGTGGAAGGAGGAAAACTTTAAAAAGACATTTTTCTTTTTACGCTGATTCGTTGGTGTGTGGAACTTCCAGAGGGATTGATGGATGCCGGTACAGTTACAACGTTTAAAAGACATTTAGATAAGTGCACGAATAATAAATATTTGGAGAGATATGGGCCAAGCTCAGGCAGAGGGAATAGTTTAGTTTGGGATTGCAGTCGGCATGGACTGGTTGGGCCAAAAGGTCTCTTTCCATGTGTATGACACGATGACTCGAAGTGGCTAAAGCTGCAACTGTTATGCTATATAAATTGGGCCTGCCAGATTTTTACCTGCAGTCTTCACCTTTCAGAAAATAGATTAAACTTTTTTCCAATGTCAGTGCAAGCTCTTATTCTTGACTTTAAAACCTGACGCCCTGTTCACAGCTCCAAACCGCCTTCCATTTCAGTGACTGGATGTAAGACAAACCCGCCCCTCACTCACGCCGTTATAGGTTGGAGACTCTGCCCTCCACATTTCCCGATTGGTCGGAACACGCGCCCCGCCCCTCGTTCTCCCAGATTGACCCGGCAGCTCCGCGTCAAACCTCCAGTCCCGCCCCTTGCTTTCAATTGGTCAAGGGACGTCATCCAGCGGGCATGCAGCGTTTCGGATCACGCGCATGCGCGTGCCGTGAAGGATGTTCGGAAAAAAATATTCGTCTATCACATTGTTAGGCGGTGAGTAAAAGTTAAAGACCAAACCAGCGTTCGGCGTGATATTCTGACCAGAAAGTTTCATTGTTGCTCACTTTAGGTCTCAAGCTCCAAATATGGGTTTTCCGCTGCCGCGATTTAAGCCGCAGAGAACCTCAGGCTTCTTCCCAGAAACAGGCCCCAGTCATCAGTAGCCACTTGTTTCAGCGGGCGGTGGGTGTGCGCAGGCGCTGTTGGCGTAGTGACGTAAAGACTTGTGCGTGATGCCGTATGATGGTTCGCACCTCAGTTCCGGAGCTCCCTTTTCCCATCCCCCACTCTTCTCCCCTCCATCCCTGATCTACTCCAGTGTCACCTTCTGGGGCTCTGCAGTTTTGTTTCATTATTCCCGGTGGGAGGGATTACAACAGTAAAACTGCAATATGAAGGTGAGATGAAGCTGGATGTGATAAATAGCAGCAATCCCACCAGAATCCAAGTCCTGTAACCCCCTGTAAACTTCCAGGTGTCTTAGCAGCTGGATGTCTGACTGAATCCTTCCTGCACATGGAGCAGGGGAATGGTATATCCCTGGTGTGACAGCACATTTGGCGGCCTGTTCAGGTGGGGAAGTGTATCCCTGTCGTTGTCCTGATTTTTCCACAGTATCTTTTGTCTCTCCTGGCTGGCATAATCAGATAAGTTCTGACCCAGTCGACAGAATATCCATATCGTTGTTTTTTATTTTGTTGTTATTTCTGCTGATTGTGACTGAATGAGATTTCCGTTGCTGCCCATCACTGGTTAGATGTTGCTGATTTCCCAGCTTTATCTTCTCACGATCAGAAATTATTTGTCCTGCACTGGAGATCATTTTTGCTTCTATACTAAGACTGAGCATCAAATAATTGTTATAGCACAAGAATAGCAATCAAAAACAGATCAGCATCACTATCACTGGATTCACAACACAGTGAAATTATTTTCTTGTGATTTTGTACCTAGGTACAAAACGGAGACATTGTAAACTTTTCACTGCATTCTTGTATGCCTGTAATTGATTACAGGTGACAATGAAACCAAATTCTGATTGCATTTCCAAATGTAAATTTAAAAATTTAATGGCCATCTAAATTGCCCAAACCAGACTTTATGATTAACAGATCTTGGACACCAAGTTTAGAGAAAAGAAATGACAATTACTTGAGCAAAACAAAAGTAAACAACTGAGCAATCTAATCAATATCTGTGATACAAACACAGTCTTTATTCATAACCTCCACTCTCTCAGATAAGGGTATTTTGAAATGAAAATAAAATTCATGTAAAGTGTCAGTTCAGTTAACCAGTTTCAAACAATGGATGCCAAGCTTTTGTGCAATCCTTGGATAATGAGTTGTTCACGGCCATGTAGAACCTTATTAATTTCTAACTCAACAGTGAATGTAGACAGTTTCAGCAAACTTCCATAAGTATTTTCTTATTTCCTATGTTGCTTTTCTTGGAACATTCAACTATTTTAGAACCGGATAGAAAATGAGAGACAGAGCAATCAGTCCTGAACCTTCCAAAATCACTGCACCTCCTTGACCTTCTTGAACTGCTGCAGTCTGTGCGGTGAAGTTGCTCCCAGATTGCTGTTCCATAAGGAGTTACAGGATTTTCATCCAGTGGTGACAAGGTAATGCTGATATCTGTGGGAGTTACAGTCGTTTTGTTTTTATATCCCATGTTTAACAGAATAGAAACACAGGGAAGAGGATCAGGAGTAGGCCATTGTGATGTTTGATCCTGCTGTGCTATTCAGTATGATCATGGCTGATCATTCTACTCCGTGACCTGTTCCTACTTTGGACCCATGCTCTGTGATCCCTTTAACCCTCAGAACGATATCTATCTTTTCCTTGGGAAACATTCAATGTTTTGGCCTTAACTGCTTTCTGTGGCAGCAAATTCCACAGACTCATCAGTCTCTGAATAAAGAAACTTTTCCACATCCCAGTGCTAAGTGGCCTAGCCCATATCCTTAATCTGTTAACCTCTGGTTCTAGACTGCCCAGTCATTGAGAACACTCTTCCTGCATTTACCTTGTCAGTCCTGTTCGACTTTTTTTGGTTTCTGTGAGATCTTCCTTCATTATTCTAAACTCCAGTGAATTTCATTCTAACCAATGCATTCTGCCCTTATATGTCAGTCCAGCCATCCCAGGAATCAGTCTGGTAAACCTTTGTCGTGCAGCCTCCATAGCCAGAACATCCTTCATCAGATAAGTATTCCAAAACTTCCCACAATGCTCTCGTTGTGGTCTCACCAAGACCCTGTACAATTTCTGCAAGACATCCCTGCTCCTGTACTCAAATTTTCTCACAATGAAGGCCAACATAGCATTTGCCTTCTTCACCTCCTGCTGCACCTGCACGCTTACTTTCAGCAACTTGGGTACAAGGACAAACCGGTCTCATTGCATCTTCTCCCTTTCCTAACCTATTTCCATTCAGATAATAATCTGTCTTTCTGTTGTTGTGATCAGACTGCATAGCCTCCCATTTTGTCCACAACATCCTATATCCACTTTGTATTCTTGCCCACCCACTTAATTCCAAATCACACTGTAGCATATGCGCATCCTCCTCACAGTTCACTGTCCCACCCAGATTCCTGTCATCTACAAGCTTGGAGATATGACATTTAAATTTCCTCATCTAAATCATTAACAGATATTGGGTATAACTGGGGTCCAAGCACTGATGCCTGCGGTACCACACTGGTCACTGGCTGCCACTCAAAAAATGACCTGACTGTTCTTGTACTTTGTTTCCTCTCTGTCAATATACTACCCCCAATCCCATATACTTCAACTTTACATGCTAATCTCTTCTGTTGGATATTTTGAATGCTTTCTCAAAGCCCAAGTAAACTACATCCACTGCCTCCCTATCAACTCTAAACTTTGCATTCTTGAAACATTCCAGCAGATTTGTCCATCTGTATTTCCCTTTCATAAATCCAGGCTGATTGACTCTGTCCAATCTTGTCACTGTTTTCCAGTTTTCGGCTACCCAGTCTGTAAATCGATGTTTTCTCTCCACCTCCTTTTTTCAAAGAGTGGACTTACATTAGCTACCCTCCAATCCGTAGGAATTGTTCCAGAGTCCATAGAATCTTAAAAAAATGACGATCAATCTCCTCTGTTCAGATTCAGGCCCCTAGTTTCAGAATGTGTCCACTATCTCGCCGGCCACTTTAAGTACTCTGGGCTGTCGATTACCAGGTGCTGGGATATGTTGGCTTTTAATCCCATCAATTTCCTCAACACCATTTCCCTACTAATACTGTTTTCCTTCAGTTTCTCCCTCTCCTGCATTCCCCAGCATTTTAAGGATATTATTCTGTCATTCGTTCTGATGACAGAACCAAAATATGTGGTTAATTGTTCTGCCATCTCTTTCTTTCACATTATAATTTCTCCCCTGTTTCTGGTTGTAAGCAATTTGTTTTCATTGATCTTTTTGCTCTTCCTTTTATCTTTAGGAGCTTTTCCAATTAGTTTATACGTTCCCCACAAGCTTACTCTCGTACTCTATTTTTCCCGTCTTATGTGGCAGGGCTACCTTTCCTGGTTTATTTTGTGCCAGATAGGAATTAACAGCAGTTGCAGGTCTTCCAAGTGCTCTGTAAATGTTTGTCATCCCTTTAAGTTTACGTTCCCTGAGTTATTGCAGCCTACGTGCTCGTCATACCATTGTAATTTCCTCTCTGTTTAGAATTTGGCCCTCATTCTCAGACTCAAAAGTGTCACTCTCCATCTGAATGAAGAGTTCTGTCACTGAGTTCTTCATTCTTCCACTAGGGGCCTCTCGCAGCTAGATTGCAAATTATTCCTTTCTCATTACTCAATTTAAATGCTGAAATTAAATTTGCCATAGTCCCAGAAGATCATAGGACTGCTCTCTCACTTCAGAGAGAGAGATGAGTAATGATGCTTTAACCTGAGGGTCACCATGCCTCTGGCAAGGGGCAGGATTAAGAATGTGGGACCTTCATGGTGACCTCAGCTTGTACAGGAATTGAGCGCATGCTGTTGGCATCAGTCTGCATCACAAATCAGCCATCCACCCAACTGAGCTAACCCACACCACCCCCACCCCCCCGGCCATTACAGAATATGCAATCTAGGATGGCCTGTCCTCCGTTTGGTTCCTCACTGTATCAATCCAGAAAACCATCTCATACACACTCCAGGAATTTCTCCTCTATGGTGTTACTGATTTGATTTGCGTGATCTATGTTCAGATTGAAGTCACCCACAATAACCCTGACACCACAAGATACAGGAGCAGAATTAGGTTCTTTGCCCCATCGATTCTGCTCCACCATTTGATCATGACTAATGTGTTTCTCAACACCATTCTCCTGCCTTCTGCCTTCTCCGGCAACCGTTGATCCCCACAATCGAGAATCTATGTATCTCTGTCATCATTGCACTCAATGAATTGGCCCTCTATGACAATGAGTTCCACAGCTTCACCACCCTCTTGCTGAAGAAATTCCTCCTCATCTCAGTTCTAAAGGGTCATCCCTTCACTGAGAGGCTGTGCACTTGGGTTCTAGTCTCTCCAATATGTTGACATCTTCTTCATGTCCATCTATCCAGGCCTCTCAGTATTCTATAAGTTTCAATCACATAGAGTCATAGAGCCAGACAGCACAGAAACAGACACCTTGGTGCAACCAGTCCATGCCGACCCCTTTCCAAAACTAAAGTAGGTTCACTTGCCTGCATGTGGCTCATATCTCTCTAAATATTTCTTACTTAAGTACTTTTCCAGATGTATTCTAAACATTGTAACTGTACCCACATTCAGCACTTCCTCTGGTAGTTCATTCCACACACAAACCACTCTGTGAAACAAAAATTGCCCCTCATGCCCTTTTTAAATCTTTCTCCTCTCACCTTAATAATATGCCCCTGAGTCTTGAACTCCCCCAACCTAATGAAAAACAACCTGCCATTCACCTTAGGGCAGGACTTATTCAATTAGTGGTAGGGCCCTGCGTAGTGTTATACCTAGGTACCTTTGTATCTAAGATGGTGCCATAAATGCTGACTTGTAAACTTTTCACTATACTCATGTGAGTACATGTGACAATAAAGCTAATTCAATTTGATTAAAAATACGCCCCCTAATCTTGAAATCCCCACCCTCGGGGAAAGACACCTGCCATTCACCTTATCTGTACTCCTCAGGATTTCATCAACCTCTTTCAGGTCAAGGTCAACCTCAACCTCCTCCCCTCCTGTGAAAGAAGTCCCAGCCTATCCAGCCTCCCCGATAACTCAATCCAAGCATTCCTAGCAACTTCCTGGTAAATCTCTTCTGAGCCCTGTCCAGGTTAATGATATCCTAACTGTTACAGGGCAACCAGAACTGGACACAGTATTTCAGAAGAGGCCTCAACGATGTCCTGTATGACCTCAACATGATGTCCCAACTCCTGTAAACAAAGGTCTGAGCAATTAAGTTAAGCAAACTACACACCTTCTTAACCACCCTGTCTAGGCGTGTGACAAACTTCAAAGAATTATGTCACTGAACCCCTAGTTCTCTCTGTTCTACAGCACTACCCAAGGTCCTACTTTTATTTGTATAAGTCCTGCCCTTGTTTGTTTTACCAAAATGCAATACCTTGCATATATCCAAATTAAACTCCATCTGCCACTCCTCAGCCCATTGTCCCCATTGATCAAGATCTCTTTGTAATCTTAGATAACCTTTTCAGTGTCCACATTCAACATACAAACTATCCTCTGATTGAAAAGGTTTCCCCATCGTTCCCTGTTATATCTTTCTCCTCTCACCTTAAAACATAAGAATTCCCCTATCCAAAGGAAAAGACCTTTGCTATTCAGCTTAGCTACACCCCTCATGATTTTACTAAACTCTGCAAAGTCACCCCTCAACCTCCTACATTCCAGCCTATCCAGTCTGTCCTCATAACTCAAACCCTCCAGCCTCGGTAACGCATTGACTCGAAGTGTAGCAGCAAGCCACACAGAGTAGAACGTCACTCCGGCCACGAGAAATATCACCTAATCTCCAGTTCTTTGGCTCTTGGTCAAATACTTTGGCAACAGGAACTGTCCAGCCTGATACATGGAGAGTGAACATTTGGCCTCGCTTTCTCCACAATAAAAACTGACACAAAATATTCATTTAATATCTCTCCCATCTGTTGAGTTTCAACACAAGCGTGACCTCCTTGATCTTTAATGTGCACAACTCTGTCTCCAGTTGCTCTCTTGCTGTACGTGTACTAGTAGAACCTCTTTGGATTATCCTTAGTCTTCGCAGATGAGGTTATCTCACATCCCCTCTTTGCCTTCCTGATCTCCCTTTCATATAACAACAAACTTAATTCTTAATCATCCTTTGGGCAGTTAGAAGGGATGATAAATGCTTGCTGAGTTGCCATGATCCCATGAACAAACAAAAAAAAAATCCAATCACTGAAGTTACTTGTGAACCTGCTGGTGTTTCATTAAGCGAGACGACTGAATTTTTCCCACACACAGAGCAGGTGAATGACCTCTCCCCAGTGTGTATTTGCTGGTGTACAGTGAGGGTTGATGATGTCCTGAACCCAGCCCGACAGTGAGCGCACCTGAACTGTCGACCTTCAGTGTGAACATGTTGATGGTACATCAGTCCACCTGAGCTTTTATAGCACTTCCCACAATCTGCATATTTAAAGGGTCTCTCTTCAGTGTGAATCTGTTGGTGTTTCAATAGGCTGGATGACCGGGAGAAATCCTTCCCACACCTGGAGTAGGTGAATGGTCTCTCCCCGGTATGGACTTGCTGTTGTGTCAGCAGGTGGGATGACTGAATGAATTACTTGCCACACTCACAGCAGGGAAACAGCCCCTTTCCAGTGTGAAACTGCTTTGAATGCCTTCTCACACACGAAGCAGGTGAACAGTTTCTTGCTGGTGTGATGACACCACTATGTTTGCAGCTTGGATGGGTAATTGAAACTCCTCCCACTGTCTCCATAGATCCACAGTTTCCTGTCAGTGTGGCATTGCTTCAGTTTCACAAAGTCAGTTGATCGCCTGAAGCCTCGTCCGCACACGGAATCTGTGCACAGTTTCTCTTCACTGTGAATGGCGCATCTACCTTCCATGTTCAAAATCTGATGATATTCAACTTACATTACAATGAAGCAATTCTGTCAGATGCTGTTTCTCGACTGCACATCCTCAAATTCCAAAACAATGTGGAATTGACCAGAAACAAAAGAAAAGGAGCATAAGATAACACACAAAAAGAAAGGTAGCTTGTGAAATCAAGGTGAATGATCTGGTAATTTATGGGGCTGGCACAGGGGAATAGTGACCATAAAAGCTGCCATCTTACTATTAAATCACCAACGAATTCACTCGTGTTCATCAGCGATGGGAACCTGTCATCCAATCAGGACCTATGGAAGACTCTGACCTCAATGGAAGAAAGGGAGCACTGGGCAGGGGCTAAGAACAGCCCATGCTTTCAGTGGGAGAGGCTGTAGCCTTCGTATAGCGACCTGAAGAGGTTCCTTCCTTGCTGTTTTGTTCAGAACAATTAAATAAGAGCCTGTTTTAAAGGAGCGTGCAAGTCAACTGCTCGCTAGCTTCCGTGGTGCAATTGGTCAGCGCTTTCAGCTCGTACGTGCAAGGTTGGTGGTTCAAGGTCACAAAGGCAGGAGCAAGCACTGTTCTCACTCTACTAGTTCCATTTTTGTGATATAGGTCCGGGTTTTTAATGCGGTTAGGAAAATGCTCCCCAAACGGAAATCTTATCCAGTGAGTAACCGCAAAGGCGTTTTGATGTTGTTCTAATAGCTAACGTAAAGAGCTGCGGATGTTGGGAAAATTAAACAAAAACAGAAACTGTTGGAGAAACTCAACAGGTTTGGTAGTACCTGTGGGAGAAAACAGTTCTGAAACACCCTGATTCTCTGCCCACAGATGCTGCCAGATCTGCTGAGTTTTTCTGGCAATTTATGTTTTTATTTTTAAATGAATGTGTATTCCACCTATTGCAATGAAACAAGCAGACCCACCATGTACTGAATTTAACCCTTTTGAAATCTGTGAAGTGATTGGATTCAAACAAACCCAGTAATGAGTCACTCTTCCTCAGCTCCACAGGGAGAGAGACCTGGAAAGGTGAGTGGGTAGTGCGCTGCTGCAGTCATTGCCGAGTGGTTGAGGAGATGGAGTTTGAAACCCATTGGGGTGTCCCTGGGCAGTTTCGAAACCTGCCGACTGTGGTTGAGCACTGAGGGCAAATCAGAAGGGAGTTTAAAGCCTCCTTGTTTGCAACAGGAATCACAGGAAGGGTGGGGAAAAAGCATTTCATCCAGATCGCCAATGGTGAGAATATACAACTCACTGACTGTTGGAATGGAACAACATTGGAGTTGAGGCATGCTCAGATGTACACTTGAGGCTGTGCACGAAATGCTGGGAAATGAGATTAGAATACTCAGGGTCTTCAGTACGACTGCTGCAGACATGAAGGGTCTTTCTGCAGTGCTGGAGACCTCAGTTTGTGAAGTGACAGGACAATGCTTGCAAAATACACTCCTGTCTGTGAGGCACGTTATCCATTGAGATTGGGGATAACTGGTATTGTGCATATTCCTGGAATCAGTACCTGGGAGAATCTGGAAAATGCGACACTGGTGTTTCTTTACCCAGCTGTGCGCAAGCTCATTGTTTCTCAATGCCTTGTCTTACAATCCATGGCCCTGCTTTCCAGGTAAAGATTGGCTTCATGATCTACCTACATTCGTACCAAGCAGGTCATTGAGCTGGGAGCTGGAGGTGAGACAGGGACAGAAGCACAAAGAGGTGCGACGTGAAAGTGTTTAGAGTTTTCCTTATGTTATGAATTTGGATAGAGTAATTGTGGAGTGGAAGGCAAGAAGCTAAAATGTGTGGTTCCTTTGAGATTTGTGCTTTGTCTGTACTTCGAAATTTAAACAAAAATCTGTCTGTGAGCAGCAGCTGAAGTTGCCAGTACAGAGAGCCTGAAAAAGTGAAACAAATGTATCAAAGCCTTCCAGGCGGCAGGCAAAACATCCGTCTTGTTTGAATTTGGCCAATTAATGTAAACGAAGCCCCTAGATACAGGAAGCCAATTGGATTGAAATCTGATGGTGTTTACAACCTGAAACCAATCACATGATAAGAATGTGATGATGTCCTAATGGGTAGAGAAGGCGAGGGAGAGAGCCGACTGTCATCTGCCAGAGTTAGCACCATTCAGCTCTCAGAGAAAGCACATCGAATTCATCGAAAGGAGCACAGCATTTTAGCTCAAAGTCCTTACTGAAGAAATTTGAGAGATAAAACATTCCTGATGGCAGAATTAATGGAATAAAGGCATTTGTGAAGAAAGCGGAAATGACAGAATATTCCAGAAGACAGCCTGTGCGAACTTTGAGAGATTAAGTTATAATTTATTTAGTGCTTCTTATTAATTGAGTTTATTTTAGTGGGACTTGTTTTTATTTCAACAGCATTATAGTAGAATTTAGACCATTTCAGGAGTAGTTAGCAGTCTAAGGGGGAATTGTCGGTTTGTTAGTAATTTTGTTAATTTGTTCATTGTTGGGTTTAATAAATAAATTGTTTCTTGTCACTTGTAAAATGGAGATCAAGGATTTTCTTTCTATTACATTCTCTTTTAATAGATTATGAAGGGAAAGGCGAGCTTCTGGGGGTGTTTACGGGGTAATTATTAGACGGGAACCCCTACTTCTGTCATAACAGATCGGGGCTTGTGTTTTAGTTTAATTATCAGAGGGGTCTGGCCATTCCCTGTTGTAACACCTTCTGTCAGTTCTCGTTAGTGAGGGATGTCTGCCGGGCCCTGTCCTGTTAGATTCCCAGAAGCTGCAGTGATCGGGTCAGTGAGTTCACAAGATTGACAGTTGAATGTGAGCAGCTTGTCGGACTATTTCAGCTCACTGTCCATTTCATAACCCAGCTCACGCTAATGGTTCTCATTTTCTGCAGAAGTCACTTGTGATCCACCTGAAGCTGCCTTTTGTTGCAGAAACTTGTGTGTGGGGATGCAGAACGGACATGAAGCACATGGAGTGGATATAATCATGAGGACTCTGTCACTCTCGGGGATGTGTCTGTGTGTCTCCCTCTGAAGGTGAAAATGAGGATGAGTTCCTTAAGGGAGTATTTACACAGTTTTACCATCTGAACCTTCAGTTCAATTCATTGTGTCATTTGAGATTACAGGGACAAGCTGATTGACATTTGCCCTTGAACCATGAGAGCACACAAGGCTATGGGCTAAATGCTAGAAACTGGGACTGGAATAGATGGAGTTTTGGTGATCTGCACTGACACAATGGGCGGAATGGTTTTCTTCCACCCTGTAAAAACTCAAAAACTGAGAAATAAATCGACAGTGAAAATGATCGCAAATTAAAACGCAAAGGCAGTATCATTGAGAAA